TGCGGACTTACGACGCTAGAATCCGGGTTTCGATACCCGTGGTGGACAGAGCCCAGATAGCCCATTGTATAGCTTTGTGCTTAATTACAAATAAACAAACCTCTTTTATTTTATACTGCGAGACTCACGTGCTTCTTGGTTTAAATATATTCTTCATTGATTATTTCTCTATTCGCCTGGATTTGTTCTTTTCATTTATATATATATATTTATTTCACGTTTTAACCCAAATGTAACCACTAATGGTATCCTGTCTCAAATAGACCATTATTTCAATATTTGGACAACCATGTTTGAACTTGCGCCCGACCTAGTTCCAATGTACAACTCTCACTAAGCTACTTGTAAAGGAGAAACCCAAAAAAGGCTTAACGGTCTTTCTTTCTTTTTTTTTATCGCTTCTGAAACGGATCAAATTTCCGGAAGTAACCCGAATCTAAAGGATTCGTGGAGTTTTCAGACTCTTGGGAAAATGATCATAAGTAAAACATTATAAAGTTCATAAAAGTCAAAATCAAAATACAAAATAATGTGTATATTATAAAAACAACGTTAAGATAAGATTTGTAATTGAGCTGAAAAAACAAATTAACATTTGCTAATATGTGTAAGTAGTTCCGAACAAGAGTTTGATTCTATTTCCCTTAAAGTCCGTGAATTAAAATAGTGTAAGCGTGTGTATGTTTTATTATAGCAAAGCCACATCGAGCTATCTGCTGTGTCCACCGAAGACAATCGAAGTCCTGATTTAGCGTGAGATTTGATTACAATTTTCGAAACCTTTCACTGACATGAAATTCACAAGTCTTACAAAAGTCACATATTTATCAATTCTATCCCATTGTTCCATAAAACTATTTACTTACGAGGAAAATTAAATAAACGTAATGTTAAATCATAAAAAAATAAACTGAAGCAAAAGGGGGATATTGTAGCTGAGCTTGGTGCAATGTTACAGTGATACACTGGAAAACACATGTACTCCACTGGTATACCATGTGATCAGGATAGAATAATTTAGTCTGTTGTGTGGCGCTGTTATCGAGCACGTGGTTTAGAAGTTCCAGCGCAGACTGAAATATGAGAGTGTTCAACAGGTGTAAACGGAAGTCAGTGGCTTTGTTTAGCCATATTCGAAAACATTCAGCTGTAATAAGTTTTACAGAAAGTTGTCTGTAACAAAATACTGATTTTCTTTAAGCCCATCTGGCTTCTTTCATTTTTGTTCTGTGGCATTATTCGCAAATACTCTGCTGTAATAAGTTTTTACAGTGAGTTCCCTGTAATAAAAAACTGCTCTTCTTTAAACCCGGCTGACTTTGAACATTGTGGAAAATAACTTTGTTTAACCGTATTCGGTGATATCGTACGGAAACTTCCTGCTATAATACGTTTTAAAGAGCGTTCTTGGGCATAGCACTGACAGCCCAATGCGTAGCTTTGTTTACAACAGAAACTGTTGTTGTTGTTGCTTTCACCCTGGCTGACTTCTTGCATTTTTGTTTCGTGGCATCGTTCAGAACATCCTGCTGTAACAAATTTACAGAGGATTTTCTGTAATACAGAAACTTTTTTGTCTTTCATCCTAGTTAACTTCCTCCATTTTTAACAAATATCATAGACGTCATTTTAATATGCAGTTTGAAGTAATTACTCTCGCAGACAAGTGATTGTACCATGGTACAGAAACATCGTAGGTTTCAGTTTTGTTTAAACTGTATCGTTTCTTTCACATTTAGCTTATAACTTCAACCAGAAATAACTGAATTTTGGAAAGAAAGCTTATTTCTTAAAATGGTAAAATTGCAAGGAAGATACACAAAAACTTGCAACGTTCCACTGCCTGTTTTTGTTTACTTGTTTATTTTAGAGCAATGCTATATTGCGCTCTCTGCTGTGTTTACCGTGGAGAATCGAACCTCGGTTTTTGGCATTGTAAATCCGTAAACTTACCGCTGTCCTACCTATAATTTATTAATCGTTCTGATTTTTGTTTCTGTTTCTCTTTTCATCCAGTATTACACCCATTATTTATAAAGTAACCTACGTTACAGTCTGAAAAACGAGCATAACCGGAGAAGATGACATACACATTAATTGTTTATAAAGTAACCTACGTTACAGTCTGAAAAACGAGAATAACCGGAGAAGATGACATACACG